AGAAATGTCTTCAAGCGGAGACATTTAGAACAGCGTGAACACTGCTGAAATGCATATTTAGTGAAAAAATTACCAAATTACTGTAAGTTGAACCAGCAAAAACAGTCCATTTTTGATTAAAGAAGATTTTTGATCGAATTTGAAAGCGTTTTCATACTGTCTCAACAAAAGAAACAACAAAGTAAGTTTATGCTTAAAAGTATAAAAGTGGAAAAATCATGACTAAACTTGAAGAAATGCCATCGTTTGTTATTAGCATAAATAGACTGAAGCAATTTAATTTGAATAGTATATTTGCATGTGTTTAATATTTATAATTTGTGAAGCAGAAAGAGGAAACTGATGCTGACGGAAAGATTATTTTGCAAACATTTCGCTCCTTTTTTCACCGAGGCAAATCATCATTGTTAGAGTCAGAAAAATAAAGTAATAATGCCATCATCAAATTGATAACAGCTGAACTACTGACTGATAGTGGCAGACCTGGATGGAATGAGTGAGTCAACACTAATTCTCTACATGAGTCATTCGTTTTTCATCATTTTGAAGGTATTACTGTCAACATTTATCAAAGATTTTTATCAGAAGCAATTAATAATATTTAAAGATCGCATAACTGATACAATAATTTGAAAATAGTTAAAGTATATATGAAAAATATAGACTAAATGTTTTCATTTAGGTAAAGATATATTTTGTAATATGCTTAACAGTACTTAGCAGTTATGATCAAAATTACTCATGGCTCCGTGCATTCGAAGATCGCATATTAAATACAAGTTTTTTTGTGCAGTAATTAAAACTTACGTTAATTATGTTGGATAATTGCTTTCCCGTAATTTGAAGTATAAGTCAAATTGGAACAAACACGTCAATTCAGTAAACAAAAACGTCAATCAAAAGTTAAATTGCACTTTAATTTCTTCCTTCATCAGGTCAATTTTGTCTAATAACTGATAGAAACTGATAATACAGTCTAATTCCATTTATAGTTTCTTAGCACTTACATTTATATGCAACATAAATGCTTGCTACTTATGTATTACATTTTACGTTTAACTAATTATAGTTGAAATGCACACTGATCTGAGAATGAGAGCCATTCCCTTCAATTTAAGTTTAGTTTTTGAATCTTTTGACCACTAAATGAGATAGTGTCCATACTGTATGTAATATCCGTGTGGAAAAATTTGTAAAATTGTTTACACAAAAGTGCTCGCAAACTTTTTGCACTGTATAAAGCATTATGCATCAAAGTCAGATTTATTATCGCAGTCTCAGCGGTCATTTATAGTCTTTTTTTGCGGCAGAAGAATTCGTTTTATTAGCCCAAATCAAATAAATCTAATATATTTTCAGAAGAGAAAGAACTGTTTATTCTTTTTGCAAAGAAATAAGCGAACAATGTAGAAGTTGAGTTGCGAGTGGAGAGCAGCACAGAATTGCGAAGATTGATGCGGTGAGCCATCTGAGCTGAGCTATTTATGTGAATAAGTAAGTACTGTATACAGGTTAAAAATCAAAAAAAATTTTATTTAAATTTTTAGTATAAAAGAAAATCAATTTTCTTTATAAAAGAATCTATGCAATACAACTGTACTACACTGAATCGCATCGAACTGCCATTACGGCACATTGCTTCTAACATGATACGAATTATTGCAAAAATATGCAAATTAACAACGCTGAGAATGTTAGGCAAAAGGAAGCCAAAGTAATTGTGTGCATAAAATGCAAATTGTAAAAGGAATAACGCACATGTGCATGCCATTCACATCAGTGCCAAAGCAAAAAAAGATTTATGTGCTTTTTATGTATATTTTTTGAGACGGAAAATCTTTTTTGAGCCTACGAGATACGCAAAAAATGTACGCGAATTCAGCGCTAATTTATTGCATCAAATCGTTGAATTGAATGTCTTCCATTTTTTGACTTCTCTGATTGTGGGAGAATAGCTCGAAAATGCCATATGTCAATAATAAACAGAGTAGTTTAGATATGCTATAGAATCTAAACTTTTTTGCTGAATATGTAAATTTGCACTGAGAAGCTCGGTTAAGCTACAGAGTTATTTATTGACTGAATTTTACTCACTATTTGTCATACTATCATTTTATGACTGACATTGTTTAGCAGTCTTTAGATTGAAAATAATTTCTTGCAGTTCACATGCAATATATTACGGTAGCAATTTTTAGCGATTATCCGTATCAGTTTTAGCAAAAACTGAATCGCCTTTTTCCTTAACTAACTTTTTAATGCTTTTTTTGCTAGGATTATTTGGCATAATGATAAGGTTTACGAATGCAATAATACTTGAGTATAAGCTGATAAGCATGTCGGAAGTATTAATAAGCAATTACATTTCTGCAAAATTTAAGCAAGCAAACTGAAAAATACGACATGAAGTATGAATGTTCTGTCATATTTGCGCAACACTAAATCAGAGGAGGTCAATTGGGGTAATGGGTTATTTTTTTATTGCATAATTTCACTCATATTGTACTTGATCCCAATTATTTGTCCCCACTAAAAGGAGTAGGGTACAAGCAGTTTGTTGGAGCGATTACTTCCATTAGTTATTTCATTCCTTTTTAAATTTGAGAAGTAAATGTTTACTGTTACTGCTTGCTTGTTTCATATAAATGCTTAGTTGTGATATTTATTAATATGTAATAACATACTATTATACCATTTATTTAAAGTAAATAAACTTGAAAAAACTCTTTTAAGGCAATCTTTCATATCAAACAAAGTTGAGCTTGCAAGCACCACTGCTAAAATCTGACATTTCGTCTCAAAAGAGTTTATTTCAACAAAGTAAGTTGTGTGCCTTCGTGGCACCATTGACAACGTTACTACTCAACGTAATGGCAGTATTAAATTCTACAAAAAGCAATTCAAAAAATGAGAATGAAATTTTTTTTTTGATTCAATAGAAAAGTGTTCAAGATGATTAATACACGGAACGGATATGCATGCAAGGGATTCATATCTTATGGAATGCGGCGTTTCAAGTTTACGTCTTAATTACACTGCAAACTGAGTGACTGCTTGCCACACATTCAGTAAACTTATGAAGTAATTTCTGCACTGACTACCTAATGAACAAATTGTTTTCAAGTAATTGCCAAGGGCAAAACAATTTGCATTACACACGAAGCAAACCAGTTCTTCCTTCTGACGTGTGACTCAAGTCAGCAACAAAGTGCCATTCATAACAAAAAAATCGCTGCCTTTCTTTCTTATTTTAGCAACTGTAATTAATGTTTAATTCTAAAAGGGACGCATGCATAACATCGACTCTTCTCAATAATACTTTTCAGCTTTAATTAAATTAATTAGTCAGTACCAAAACTGACTAATTCTTTGACTAAATTATTTGCTTATAACTCAGAACGATGTATTGCCTGAATGCTATTCATCTAACTACTTAAGAGTAATCAATTTAGAATCAAATTTAAATCACTGTACGCACAAATCAGTATATTAGGTCATGAACTCTTTTTTAGAATTCATCATCAGCACAGATTTGAGTATAGTTCAGTGCAACATAATGCAAGGAATAACTGAATTTGAGTTTTAAGTAATTGTTATGAGAAATATTTGCTATTCTAAAATGCAAACAAACTGAGCTGACAATTTTCAACTAACTTTCAATTACTTTTTTCTGAAAATGTATTAATTTGAAGTGCAATCAGCTGTAAATCAATTGATTTCATTCTTGATTAACTAACCAATCTTCGTCGACCATTATGAGCAAGTAAGTCATATTCTTTTTATATGTTTGTTCTTAATGAGTTTCAGCGGTTATTGATAATACTACAATGGAATAGCTATTACGACCGAGAGCGATTATACAACAACGCAACAGTTGAGACGATGCAGGAGGGAAGGCTTAAGTGAGCTTTAACCGTTTATATTACTTACTATTATTATTAATGTCAGTAATAATTTAGTAGTGTATTGGCTAGATACAGTAATATAACAAAAAGACTAATACGAAACAAAAATATTCCAAAATTCGAATAAAGTGTGCTAATGATTCATAATTTCTGATCGCATTAAAGTATCATATTGATGATATATAACTGACCAATTTTACTTCTCTTCCAATTCCACAATATCAAATGATCAAAAGTTCATTAGTCAGAAGTCCTTGAGAATACTGATTCTTACAGGCTTGATCTTCGATAATGTCTCCATTATAGTGAATGGTACAGACGACCTTTTGAAACATTCGTACAAATTTCTCCTCAAAAATAAATTAAAATTACGAAAAGTAATGCCCAAGGCCACCCAACCCATTCATCACCAACTGCTCCAAAAAACCTTTACAGTACTATGCAAGTTAGCAATATTCACTCGAGAACGCTGTTATCTATCTATTATTTTTATCAATATACATTTTACTGGCAACGAAATTAGAACAAAACCCGTGTCTTCTGACCTTCATCTAGCCTCTTATTTAGGGATTGCCTCTTGCATGTTAAAAATCTCTTATACATTTTCAGTGACATACAACTGGATGACTGCAAATTATTGAACAGATTCTTCATTAACCCTTGATTGCAGAGAGGTGTATTTGGGTTTTGCCCTCCCCACAGGTTTTTTTCCTCATTACTAGGGGATAATGACAAATACTAAAACTGCGCAGTCTTGTAATCTAAATTAACTTTCACCTGTCTAAATAAGTAAATCTTTTGCATTAATAACGACTAACCATCCCTACTTCTTTCATAACTAACTTCCTTAATCACAATTTCGTATCATTATTTAGATATCATTTCACCTTGAACGATGCTACTTCAAATCCAGATTTCTTCTGAATTTCCAACTGCTGACATGGTTTGCTACTTAATGCAACCATCAATATTTAGAAGGACACAAAAGTGATCTTGAACAACAAACTGCTTGCCAAAACCAAATCTGATGAGACAGCTTTTCTGGAAAAAAGAAGCTCAAAGTGAATTCATAGATCTCAGTGGATAAATGACCTAATGCTGACTTCTATAATATGCATTAGATGTAACTAAGTACCGATCGTATTCCATGTGTATCACCTACCAATCCTCCCGCCTACTGATTCATGTAATAGCAGCAGGAGCATTGTAGACAGATCAGCTTACATTTCAGTTCCGAGATCAGTTATTTGCATATAAACATTGTGAGGCAGAAAACTGACCACTCCCACAAGTTGCAGTGTAGCTCGCCCACATTTGAAAATATAATTTTAATAAATGTATTATACACTGCTGTCAAACTTACTTCCAAAAATCTCTGCTTTCTCTTGACAAAAGAATACTTTAAATACATTTATACTTGGGTCATAAAACGATATTGGCAATGCCTACATCATTATATCTTACTATACATTTTGGAAGTCGATGAATTAACAAAACAACTACTATTACACTTTACGATCCTCATCCACCTTAAAAGGCATCTATAAACGAAACCACAAAGGAAACTATTCATTTTTAATGCAATACTCCAAAATAAATAATTCTGAACATTTTTCCAAAAATGGGTAGTGATTCGCAGTAAAAATCTAATGCTAATTCACATACCCATTTCAAAAAGTGAATTAAATAACATCGAAAAGATACCTGCAACAAATCAAAATAGTAATAAAGGTATCACTATAAAAGAGCAGCCACTAAGACTACAGCATCTTTATGATATAAAATATGCTAATAAGCATTTAAACCTGCAAGAAAAGATTAAAACATTCAAATTTACAGATTTATGATGTACGGAATGATTACACAATAAAGAGCAGCCACTAACACTACACATCTTTATCATATAAAACACACATGTATGAAATATCACATAACAAGTAAAAAAAAACCAAGTTTTGGAATTGTTTTCGGGATACTTTTGGAAATTATTAACAAAGTGCCGGTAGAATAAGAAACAGCTAGTAACCAAAGGCTACTAGGTCAAATGCTTTAAAGTTCTGAGTTCGACATGAGAACTGTTTAAGAACCTGACATTTTGCTAACGGATTACAGCAGAATGTAATACGCATAGAAACGAACAGAACTTTCAGGGAATACAAAACCCACCCAGTTGCTCCTGATAGACCTGAAATGTGCTTTTGGCAAATGCTTAAAACAAAAAAGTGTGCTGACGCTATAAAATTAAAACCTATCAAGATTAATTTCAAAGTTTCTCTCCTCACTGTATTGAAACATAAGCTCAAAATATGTAAATATTATCTGAATGCTCGAAAGTTCAATAATTAAGAGACAAAAGTTATCTGGCACACGAGATACTTTTATATCTAAATATTTTGTTCTCGTCAATCTTCAAACAAAATCCATATACAAACTTACTTCAATAATATCGTCGTCCTCAATTTCCAGTGACTTTGGTGTATCTTCGTCATTTATTCGCCGTCCATCAAATAAAAAGCGCAGTGAAGCCACATCTACCCCCATCCGATCTGCGTACGATTTTTTTAGTTTCCCCAAACTTGTCCCAAATTTAACTCGGAAATGGACTTCATTAGAATCCTGGAAGAACTGGCATCAGAAGAGAAGGTAAAAAAACAACAACTGATAATCAGAAAACTGACAGTTTTTGATTGCACACGTTATTTTTGATTAAAACAGAGGTCTATACAGAAAATGAACTTAACAAATCAATCAACAATGACCTTACTATAATCACAAAAATTAAATAAACGCATTGATGGTATTTAAATAGGTGCGATGGTATCTTCATGATAAATGCAAAATTAACAGCCCCAAGTGTTATACCTGTCCTAGAACTCTTAGTTTGATATAATCTGATGAAACTTGTGCTCCAGGATCTGCACTGTTATTGCCAGGAGCACCTGACTGCTGTGAGTCATCAGCCATTACGTCAGATCTATTCAATGAATTAAATATTAAGTAAAATCAACTGCCCCTCTGAAAATCTGAAAAATCACAAGGTACTTCAATTTGTATGAAGCTAAAACTGATATAACGAGAGACTCTAAGAATCTGTGAATAATAATCACAGGCTTTCAAATCGACAATGATTTACTCCGAAAAAGTAACCAGTGATCCAGAATACTTTGAACGAATACAATAATATATTACTGCTAACGACTCTTTTACAAAATTAATTCTATCTTAGGTTGAGCAATATTTTTCAAATCTGCAAATCTGGTACTCATGCTTTTGCTTATTATTTCCGACCATATAAGTTATTTAGCATCCGTGTAATCTAAAACACCAACGATCAAGAACTCCCTGGCTGTTATTCAAAAACTGGTTAATATCATGATACTTTTTAACTTTCTTTAGAAACAAATAAATATTACTAGGTTACTGAGACAACTTTCATGCAGAAGCAAAGTAATAACCAAAATTGTATTGACATTTAGGATGCCGTACACTACTTAGAGCATAGACCTTGCAAAAACGAATTATACAAGTCGAAGAATAACCTAATTCCTAATTTCTTGGGAAACAAAGATAACCGGTAACCTCAACCTCTTGAACTACAAACGAAAACATCCTAAAAAATCTTGCAATACCAATGATATTAAGAAGTTTAACGCGGCCCTGCCATTAAATATTAACTTACATAGTATTTAACGAAATCATCGTTTGTGGAACATAAAACATAATTTAACTCTACGAAGTCCTTAAATTTTTAACCATGCTTTCACTTATTCTTCCCGATGACATGAGCTATGTTGCAGTCTAAGGCCCTTAGTCACCTTTTCACCTTTACACACCTATGTGCATCTAGACTTGCAGAACCACACACCACTTTAAATGTTTCATTTCTTTGCACACTTAATACGATTTAAAACCCAGTTCTACTCGGATTTGCTAGAAATTAGTGTCATTTGAAATCAGCTTTAAGACTGCAGTGGTACTTGATTAACTGGTGAATTAATCCCAGGGTGAAAATTCGGAACACTTACAACCACAGACTATATATATAAGTGCGTTGCACGTTTTCTCGATGTAATCAACGAATTCTTTGGATACTTGCAAGGCAAGGTCAACCTCGCTTTACCTAAACCCATAAATAGTGGAAGACGAACACAGATGAGACTAGAAACTGTCAATCCATAATGACTTCTGGGAGAATTTGCATTGCACCGTACTAACAAGCGACGATCAAGAACTAGAGTCTAAAGAAGCTGACTGCTGCAAAAGACAAATGCAAAAAATAAGGTGAGAATTTGATCGCATATTCCCTTTACTTCACTAAAACTTGACTGGTTTCATTGCAAATATTGTTATCATCCATACTTAATTTGTCTGCATAGTAATCAGATATTCGCTCACACAATTTTTCAATATCAATAAATTGATCTGAATTAGAAAGGTCTAAATATTATCTAGTACACATTGTGACGGAGTGTGATAGTGCGGACACTTAAATATGTCATGATCAGTTGGTATTAACCCAGTTATTTTGGAACACCGACAGTGCACACACCTATGAATACTATTGGGATGCTCCATTACTAGAATTGATGAGCAGAAATTCAAAAACACAACGTACATATAGAGTAGTGAGAAAGGAAAAATGATGGAAACCATGATCGCGCAGCATTATATTAGATTAATGAAAATAATACAGTAAGAACATTTTTTATTGTTTTATCGAAAGTGTTTTCATGTTTCTTCCTCTTTTACCTTTTTTGCATATCAAAACTACCCAGCATGTTTTGTTAATACATCAGTACAAAACAATCATTATCAAAATTTTAAACAATTGAAGTGATACTTGAAGCGCTGCAGACATAATCACTTGTCAGTCAAAGACAATTTTAAAATGCGTTCCAGTTCTTCTTCTTGCTTTTTATTAGCTTTAAGCCTTTCCTCTTCTTCTTTTTCAGACAAACGTAAAGCAAGTTGAAGATCATCATCCTATAATGTTTGGAATCATTCTAATGAAAATAATTCGTCAGTAAAGGAACCAGTCTCAAAATTTTTTTTGATGAGCAGAAATTCAGAAACACAACATACATATAGAGTAGTGAGAAAGGAAAAATGATGGAAACCATTTTTAGTTCATTGCTTAGCACTTTCAGAAAGATCTGGGAAAACTGATATGAGCGATGTCTAAGCAGAAGGCAGTTAAATTCTATTTCACACCTAATTATTACAAAGAAACATGAGTAGATAGTACCAAGTCATTGTAATTCGAAGATACTGCGTTACTGGTTGCCGAAAAACCTACTCTCATCACTTGTTCCATCTCTAGAGTTCGCAAGCTTTCTCTTATTGCATAAGCTAGATCTCGATCTCCATGCATGTCGACATTGCTATTGGCAGATGCCATAACGTCAGTGTCATCACTTGAAGGAAAGCCTGTTGCCTCCTTCATACTTTGCTCCAATGCAAACTGTAGATAGAGTTCATCTTCCGGAATGTCTATGAAAAAAGAGTAATTTAACATCTGTTTTATTCAAAACAGCTTTTGACAATAATTTAAAGCTCTTCAAATATACCAAGATAAGAAGAGCATTTAGATATTCTATGTCTGAGAAACTACTCATTCATTCATACATTATATTCCTGATCGAATAAGAAAATAAAGAACTAAAAATGACAACAATCTCTTTGCGAGGGATAAAAAATAATCAAACACAGAAATCATTCGAATATTGACATCAGATCTAATGACTCCGGTATTTCGTCATCTTGCAAGAAAAAATAACTAACATCTAGTTAAAGTGCTGCCATGAGATCTTGTTTCATGAACAGATGTATTTCCATTTATATACAAACCACAATCATCGTTGCCTAACAAACGGTAATGCAGCGGAATTTCGAATGCCGCTAGATCAACTTCTATCTAGATATTTCCCACTTTAAAAGAGAACTTCATTTTTATAAAGTCTAAAAATGAAATAAGATGCCAAATTAAAGTAATTACCTCATTTGACGAAGCGTTATAAAATACATAAGGTCCTGGTCGATTAATGGCTGAAAATGTGATTCGCGCACTGACAACATGGAACAGTGGAATTTCAATTTTTACAGGAAAACCAGTTGGCAATTGCAGCTGGATAAAGTTTTTCAAACGAGCAAAGTGAGTATTACTCACAGCCATCAGATCAATTATTGGTAACACTTGATCCTTAAATAATTGTAATGTCTTGACACGATACCTCAGAATTCAATTAAATAACAGCTATACTTCTGAACAATTTTTATAATGAATAAATTAAGATCAGAATGAACATGAGAGCCCTGACACTTCATCTTATACCTAAAATGCAAACCTGTAAATTAAGAGGATAACGTTCACAAAGCCACAAGGTAGCACTGAATGAGTTGAACTTTTTCGAAACCTAAAAAGTAAAAGCACTATAATATATTCAATAAAAATCTTTACTTTTAAATTGCGTGCCAAAGAGTTACATGAGTTTTAAACTTATTTTAAACGAAGCTAGAGTAAATTAAGCCAGAGAATTAACGTAAAATTTGTAAAATTTTTAAAATTCCTTTGAACACCATCACGTTTCTTGTCTTTGTTCACACCACATATACACAAGTTAAAAGAATGAACAACCTGTTTTGATCGTCCGATATCCCGATTGTTCATCGAATAATTTTTATCTAAATACTGTTGTGGTGTTAATCCACAATAAACATCTTGTCCTGTTTGTTTTATTTCATCAGTGCATTCCTGGTATTTCTCCACCAACTTCAAAACCCTTTGCAATGGATTTTCACGCTCTTCACGTCGAAATCTACATATGACTAACTTCTGATATTCGATAAGTGAAAAATATTACCACTAATTGAATCCTTTCTTTATTTAAGCTCACAAACGATTTTTATGTCCGATAAAAGAAATTTTTGGCAAGAAAATATCAACATTTTTTCAAACTAGTTTCCGACATTATAAAGGAATCTATTGCTATAAAAGTGCAAATAAAATAATGGTTCATGCTTCGGTTATTTTCGTATTGACAATAACCGAAACTAGCCTTTCTTTATCTTCTTCAAGCAAATGTTCTGTCCGAGTTTTTGTGACTATTTCAACATTGCTTGCATTGAAAACCTTAAACCCGTACAAATTAGGGCAGTTAACAAATAGCAATACCTGCTATTGAATCACATGGTTTGAACAATAATCAATCAAAATAAAGTTTCGGGCATAAACCAAAGGAAAAACAGACTTTACACTCATAGCCATCGACTTCTTCAGTTCGGTCTGATGAAGTCAACCACGACAGAAGACCACCACCTTTCGATCTTTCAAATCTGAAATATAGTTGACCAAGATTCAGTAAAAGGTAATCAAATCACAAGACTCAAAGTCATAAGCATGAACTTTTATAAAATTAATACAGACCCAATTTTTTCAACATCAACAAAAGTGGTTTCCACTGGCGACGTCATTCGAGATTGAATAGCTTCTTCTGTTGGAACAAAATCACTAACATCATTAGTAGACTGTGAACCCATAGTATGAACGGTTACCTGAAACATGTAATTAAGAAACCAATGCTTACATGCTTAAAATTATTTACATTACTTGGTGCGATATTACATAGATATCAGAGAAATTGTACTAATCTTGAATTTCTATAAGCTATCATCACATAAACATGGAAGGTTTTAAAAATTTCATTTAATTTCAAATATTCTTAAGCTTTTAATTGACGAAATAGGTTCCTATTTACTCATTCCAGTGCTTTTTCCGGCACAACTTTAATAAATACTCTGTTACATTTAAATATATCATACTGCTTCAAAAAGCTTGCAAATATAATTGAAACTATACAAAATATAACCCACAGGAAAGAATAATTCAAAATTAAACTTACCGTTCTTAAGCAATGATCTAGAACAATAAACTGTGGTTGATTAATTTCAGAGAAACGAAATATAAATGACTGATTGCCTCGTTCCCAAACAGAGGATGTATTGAAACCAACCAACGTTGTATCAATGCGGACATTAGAACCCCGTTTATAAATCTGTAATTAATCATAATGTTCACTGCAGAAGAGCGCATAAAGAAAAAAACAAAGGAGAACATAAATAAATAGAATATTTGCAAGCAAAAGATACAGAAATTCAAAATCTCCAGTCAGAAGCACTACTGTGCGACAAAGTTTACAAAAATCCAAGCACCCTAAGTTTTAATACTTTTTCTAGCAAAATACAATATGACAATAAGAACTCAAACTGAACCATCAATCATAAACATCAGAAAATTCAATTCAGACGAAAATATACCTTATAAGTGTCAGAAGGAGACATTTTGCTCACAAATGGTAACCAACTAGTAAATTCCCAACTCATTTCAGCGTAAAAGTCGCCTGTTTCCTGAAACAAAAATACGATCATTAGATACTCTGCAAGAGCCAAAACTTGAAATCTTTTTTAACAGTGAATGCCCGGCTCCTTGAATAAAAATTTCTGTAATACTTTTTTTTATCTAAGTGACTTTAAATTCACATCTTAAGCATTTGTAAATGATGAACATCAACTATCTTTACTTAAATAATAATTATTAAAGTTGCACTTTTTCACAAATAAAAACAAGTATACGAAGTAATCTTTGTCCTACTCTAGTTATATTTATTACCGTACTTCCGATTTTCTATTCTCAAGACATGTCTCTCTCAGTGACAATTTTAGCACACAGAGTTCGGCAATAATTTATAGGAAACTTCAAACCAATATTTATGGGCTTAACATATTCACCTTTAGCAAAGACAGCAAGCGTTCCATTGCAGTTCTTGCATGTACAGCTCGCTGGTAGTCTCGATATTGAATGATTAGTTGCAGAAGATCACTATTGCCGGTACAAATAGCTTCATGACTTGGAGACCACATATCTGTATAATTCATCCTCAAGCAAAATAATAACTTTGTGACTCCTTTTATCAATTAATATGCTAAGTTGGAATCATGCAAATTAATTTTTTCCGTTAATATTCACTAATTATATATACCTGCATTCTGTATAGTAGCACTGGCTCCTTTTTCTAGCAGTGCTCGAGCACATTCATTATGGCCAAGAGTAACTGCTAACATCAAGGGTGTGCGACCTCCAAGGATGACATGCTATTTATTGAAAAATAATGGATGACTTGAATTCTACGAAATTACTAAATGTAAATCAACTGCTTTAAAGACAGCTCTGTTTCTGCTTATTCTTGAGTTGACTTACTTTCAAGCAACAATTGTTAAGGATGTTGCCAACTCGTTTTTCCTTTACGTTACATCAGTTAAAATAAAGGTTATATTCTTTTAGAATGGTTTAGTGGCAATGCTATCAGCACAATAAATCATCAAGTAACATAACAATTGTTTGTTACATACAGTTCTAATTTTTATGATATAGCTATCAATTTACATGTATCAACAATTACTCTTTATCCATTTAAAATACAGTTAGAAGGTGAAGTTAAGAATATAGCAAACACTAATGTATATAATGCAAGACACTCGTAATCACAGAAGCTGTCAGAAGAGCATTATTCATCACAAAGTGGATGCCATCTAATAATTACATTAAATAAAGGAACTAACTTGCAGTAGCCACTACTTCACAAACAGGTAAGAATAACATAACAAAAAGGGTAAAGTAACAACTAAAAGTGTCCAGTATTAAAATTAAGCAAACAACTAACCTCTAACATCCAGTTTGTTGAGAAAGTCATCCGTCTGTGTTTCCTTCAATAATTCCATTAAGTTTCCGTAGTCATTTTGGAAAACTGCCCAATGCAAAGGATATTCCCGTTGCAGTTCTCTGTCACTTGTCATTGTCGAAACACCTCTTTAGCATAATATTATTTACAAATTCATTTTCACCTTAACCAAAAATGGCTTCAATTATATATAATTTTAAAAGTATGGCTCAATAAAATTACAACACTCACTAATCGTTGTGTTACATCTACTTCTTACCAACTACAATTACATACTTGAAACAAGCATTTCTAAATGCGAAAATTGTACTTAACAACTACTCATTACAGTCAAACATAAAAAGTATGACCAAGTAACCATGAAATGGCAGTTCTCATGGGACAGAAAATTGCACAAAGGGGTACGTAGACAAGCGGGAGCTTGAATTAAGTAATGCTGCGCAGAACGCAGTTGCAAGTAGATGATGGCGTGCGCTCTATGCGTCTGGTATTGATCAGGCATTATTTAAACAAGAAAATGCACAACCGTACGTTCTTCATTGCACATATACATGACACACATACACCCATATACTCGGACACACATAGGATGATGCACTGCAGAGAAGTGCACAGACATACATAAACACTCAGACATACACTTGCAGGCAAGAGAGGGCAGCACTCATATGAGCGTGTGTGTGTTTGTGTGTGTATATGGGGTCTGGCAGAGATGACGTGCGTTGGCAGAGCCTCGTCCTCTCTGCTCTCTCATCACATACTCACTTCTTCTCTTCGTTGTGCGTGCTATTTCACCCTTCCCTTGCGCCTATCCTTCATCATTGTCAGCATAATTTTCAAGTTTTGTGATCGCGTGTTCCACGTAAATCACGTTGTAGTATTTCTGATTATAGATTTGTTATATTTTCAATCAGAAATAGCTCTAAATTGTAAAATTTTATTGCTTCTCAGTAGTAAATGATCGCTGAAGGATTAAGAGCAAAAGCTGAACTGAACCAAAATGATAGTACTACTAATTTTGAAGCTAGGACTTGCTTTCGTTCGCAGATTTTGTACTTCTTTTTATTAAATAATATCTACTCTAATTCAGAAATCTCATTTGCTTGTTAATGGGTATATATTTTTTCTAACTTTACCAAAATAATTCCTTTACTAAATAAATTCATGTGCAACTTCAGCTGCTTATTACTGTGACAACTGTTCACAAGTACTTCTTCTAATTTGGATTATTATCTTTGTGCTCTTAGGTATGTTTTTTCAAACTGTGGAGTCAAGTAACTAAACCGCGATTAAATGTAATTTAAATGGAATTATATGTAGCAAGTCACTGTTGCCTAATAGCATCCTTGTGGTTAGCTGAGAATATGCTGACGTTTGAATATGACAATTATTATAAGAATTGACGATTTGCTTTCCGGGAAGTTTGGAGTTAGTCTAAATTTTGTATTCAAATGCATCGCATTTTGTCTAACATTTTGTTACTGAACTTTTATAATTCCGGGAGTAATAATTTTGGCGCATGTGAACATAATCATATAAATGATAGACTTGGCTCGAAAAGCTTACTTGTCTCGTAAAGTCTGTCATCCATTCATCTCAAATCAAATCCTTTCACTTTTCTATCATTTTCTATTATTGGCATTCTAGCAGTAAATACGCTGTGCTTATGTTTTTGTGAACAGCCACAACTCTTTTATCTCTTTTCATGTTTTGTTTACAGTAATATCTGCTAAAAATTTTGGAGTTCTGTTTTAGTGATTTTGTAAGATTGCTGCGATTTAAATTTAAGTCTGCAAAATATTTGGACAGTAATGCTCAGATTTTAGAGAGCACAAGAAATAAATATTCTTGCAAAATTTTCTCAAGAGGTTGACAAATGCGTGAGTATTAATCGGGATGTCAAGTTTATTATTTCACACCTTTACTCTGTTCAAGTCAAGTAAACGGAACAAGTCACTTGTATATTATTTTCTTAACCAAGAAATTGTGATAAGGATCGTTTGAGTAAATACCTCTTTCATTTCATTTCTGCAATACAGTAAGGTTTTAAACAATAGAAAATTGTGGATCGCAAACAATTTTTCCGGCGCGCTGTTATTTAATGAGATTAAATGATGTAGTGCGCTACCTCACTTGCAACCTTCTGGACCCGATTTCAGCACTTTTTGATAACATGTTTCCATTCCGTGATGGAGAAATTGTGCATAAATTATTTTAATTAGCGGTTGGTTATGAATAAGTGGGACATTCATTAGAGTAAATATCAGCATTTTTCGAAAACTAATTTTTAATTGGAAAAGCGGTAAAAGAAGAGATTATCAAGGCCGTTGGAAGCATTGCAAGAGGCACTTCCTTTGATGGGTGCCTTTAGTGACGCAGTCATTATCTGCTTTTTTTTGTTTTTTTTGTTATTATTAGTGTTTTATATCAACTGTTGAGCGTCGCGTCACTTTCAGGTCAAACTGTTTATTAAATTTATTTTTTTAAATTATGTAGAAGTAATTTTGCAAGTTTCAAGCAACCATTTTCGTCCAAAGTAGAATGCGAGAATCGGCGAAGCCGCCAGTACGTGGGAAAACATCTCCGTATGGATTCTTCGTAAAAATGTGCTATGAGGAACATAAAAAAAAGTACCCAAATGAAAATGTTCAGGTGACAGAAATAAGTAAAAAATGTTCCGAAAAATGGAAAGTAAGTTTTCAAATGATTACAAATCTTAATAACACTATCAGCATTGATTGTTTAATATGCAAATTATTATTAGTATCACTTGCTCTTCTGGTCTTCAAGTCTTATTATGAAACATTATAACCTGAAACAGATCGCTACAAGATGTGATATTAAACTTCATTATCTTTATTCGATTAAAATTGGTTTAATGATTTATCTGTTTTATCTCTGCAAATACAGACGTGCTCTATTGCAAGTGACTGGTTCGGAATCGCATTATTTTCATTCTGATTTGTTTTCTAGGAAAGTATTATTCTTCTCCTAATATTTTTTGCATTGCTTACAGACTATGTCAGACGATGAAAAACGAAGATTTTTCGAATTAGCACAAAAAGATGCAGAACGTTACCAAGCTGAAGTTGCTGCTTACGGAGGAGAGGATGCATTACGTAAACGAAAACGTGTCAAGAAAGATCCAAATGCACCAAAACGGGCTTTGTTAGCTAATTGAGCATTTTTTTCTCAAATCATTTTAAAAAAAAAAAGAAATTATTCAAGAAAATAAAATTTATTTAAATTAATGTTCTGGTTTTTAGTCTGTTTTTTAGTCTGTTTATTTTCATTTTATTAAGAAAATTAGTGCTAGAAAAATGTTACTTAAATACAGATCTGCATTCTTCTTCTTTTCTCACGATAAGCGACCTGAGGTACAGCAGCAGCATCCAGAATGGAAAGTCGGTCAAGTAGCGCAAGAACTGGGAAGATTTTGGAAAGCATTGAGTGAGGAGGAGCGAGCCGTTTATGAACGTAAAGCTTTAGAAGATAAAGAGCGATATGCTGAGGTAATTTATTTTTGATTTTTATATAAATAATTTTCTTCAATTGCATATATTTTTATACATCTCATTCAAGATATATGTGTCACATGACTCACGGAACTTGCAAAATCTTGTTTTTGTCATGGAATTTGCACAATTTCGTTTCATTTTACAATTGTCATTATGGCAGTTTTGATGTGATAATTCTAAATTTTTATACACCATATATGTGTGTGTATTATAGTAATGAATATTACAGGAAATGAGAAATTACAAAGGAGCACCAGTGCAGACAATCACTTCTATGAAATTGCCGATGATGACGACCGTTGAAGGTGTCCCTGCAAGTGGACTGATGCAAATGGGGGTGCCACAAACTCATGCCCAGCAAATGGTTCAAGCACAGGAAGTAAACGACGAAGGGGGCGAAGACTGAACTTTTTTAATATTAATTCAATATGGTACGTATAGAAAAATTGATGTCGTTTGTGGAATGTGTTCGGTTTAATTACGGAAAGGTTTAGTTTCTTAAGGTTCTAAATCAGATAAAAAAGCAATAGGGAAAACTCTTGTTGAAAAATTTTGCTACTATGGCTGTAAATTTTGATTCTGGTTTTATTTTTTCTCTACGGAATCTTTAGATTTGGGTATAGTATTCTAAATGAGAAAGTTTAGGAAAAAATTTCTAAATTTCTGAATTATAAATGCAGACTTCAGCATTTAATTTTTGAGTCAGGGCACTTTGGGATATATCCACTTTTTGTTGTTTTCTTTGTTTAATACAAGCAAGAAACATAGATTGTAAATATTATCTAACAGCATTGATATTTGTCGAGTTTTATTGTTTTTTACAATTGTAATTTGTTTCGGTTTTTTCTGCATTTTGTAAATTATTTTCACGTAAATAGACGTAGGCAGGATACTTTGTTCAAGGAACCATCAATGTCACTCTAGGCACTGTATTTTGAAGCCATCTGAAGCGAGTATATAATCAAGGTTCTCGTAACCATTATTTTAAATTCAATGTACCCTAGTAACGAATATTTTCGAATTTTCAGTTCATATATTTCTCGCTCTCGCATAAATTAATTTTTGGCAGTGTTCAGGTAGAACAGAGTCGCAGATATTGACGGCTAATTCCGTCCAATTGAGTAACGCGGCAGTCTCTAGATTATTGGTACTTTCAAAAGCACATGATAGTGTTTTCGTGAAATTTTTTTAGCTTCCAGGATCTATCTCTGTCGTGATTTGTTCTAGATTTCTTTTTATAAAGTCAGTCCTGCTTTGTTTTACTTAATTTGCCCTTGTGAATCAAATTCTTATCAATAGTCGGAGTTGGAGGCGATGATTTTCTTCTGACCATGATAAAATGGTTTTTTTTTGATTATGCATTCAACCATTTATCATTCTATTGGTGTGTTTGCTTGATTTAGCTTTTTCTGATTGTTTACTGCGTGAATAATTTTTTTGTCTATGTGTGTTTCCGCATTATGTAAATTAAGTAGTAGTACGGTGTCCGTCATGTTTCGTTTATCACAGCGTCTCGATAACACCGATTTCTTGTAGCATATGTGAGGATAAATGCAGTGATTTACAAGACTTGTCAAGTCATGAATTGAGATATATCCTTTAGAGTTCTCCTTTTTATAATTACGGTTGCGTGTTAGAACTTTTTTGCTTGGCAAAATTTGGAGCCTATAAAGTTATCGGTACTAAAGCACATATAATTATGAAAAGTGTTTGTGAGCCTAATCTGTTGTAAGGGTAAGCTACATGTTAGCATTTCTAAACTTTATGAAATTATGAGATGGCGAGGGGAACGTTGTGATATCTGCAACTTCTACAATGCTAACGCACAAAAGTTGTGTAATTAAGTCTACTAATTTTTATATGATCATTTTTTAAGTACAACATGAACCTTTCACAGCGTGGGCAAGGTTTTAAAATCTGTATAGTTACGGAAATATAGCAAGTTTGTGTACATAGCGAGATCCTTCATAAGTTTTCACGTAAAATCTAAAGGAAAGGTAAAGAAGAAATTAGCAACGACTGAGATGCGGTGTAAATTGTCTGTCAGTAATCGCAAAGCGCGGAAATCGATGGTGAAAGATTTTGGAACCTGCGCGAAGAACTTATTAAACGCGAAATTTTTATTATGTGGTAATACTTAAATTGAGACAAAAATAAGTTAAGTGGGAATTAAGAGAGAAAGTGAGTTTTGTAGCATAAATGAACGAATAAATACATGACAATATCAGGGAACGAAGCCATTACTTCAGTACTGAATGAAACAAGACAAGCAAAATTGAAGTGCAGTATCACGTCATCTATCTGTTCGCTATAAAACGAATGAAAGTTAATGAGATCGTGAAGTAATCTGAATTGGCTATGCAAAGAAGTCTGAAGTCAGTTTCACCAAAGAATTGATATTCTTTCAGTAAACAACAGTGCTTCCTTTTCTGCAATCAAGTGGACAAACAGAACTAACTCTATGAGAATGAGATGATGATATTACTTATACACACACATTACAGTGGCAATGTATAATATATTTAATAAAACATTTCCATTAAAAAAGAATAATAATAATAATTGTAATGATAATGATAACGATAATACTAATACCAGACAAATGATGAAAGCACGCAATGGATCAATATTCATATACAACAATATCATCTTTCATTTCAGGTAAATCATAATGCAAAAAAGGAGGGAAACAATGACTAATCTAATATGAAAGAGGAGCAGCTTGATACATACTTACATAAATACATACAAAAGTAAATACTTTTCGATTAATCTTTGAAAAAGTTTATTGGAATAAAAAAGGAAGAATGGGACTGTGAGAGAAGAAGCACCATTTACAGATGGCACTGTCTCAGATGAAATTCAAAGCAAAACTGGCTATAGCCGCGAACAGTTAATTCATTCATCTTACAACAAATTAGATCAAAATTGATGGCAACAAGCAACTAATTCATCTCTTCTTCAAATTGTGACATGCTCCAAAATCACTGAGTACACAAATTCGCTCTTGACCCCACCATACCATAACTGGCAGTAATAGCAGTCTATTCAAAAATTCCTCAGTCTACGAGAAAGTTGGCTGACCTAGCAAAGAGGATAGAGGGAGCATAGTAAGCATAAATAATTTCGTGAGCTGCTATGGAATGCACAATTTTGAGTGATTTTCCGTGCCAAAATTCGATTGGTAGCAAAGGTCAGAAGAATTCACAGGGATGAATTTGTTGCAAATGTTAACAAGTTGAATGAAAAAGAAAAAGCTGCCAAATTGACAAAGAATCTTGCGAAGGAACAAGAGAACCAATACCCAGCATGAAAACTTGAAAATATCACAATTGAGAAGAGATAAAAAGAGAATACTAAAAATTATGAATCACTTTTAGCAAAATAATGCCTTTGGCATTCAAAAAGTATCGAAAGACTCATAAGCCCCTGAAAATGTAAAAACTGTGGATTACTGCTGAACTAAAAGTATTCCTAGAATGCTAAACAAAATCAAGTAAAGTAGTCTGAAATCAATATAGACAGACAAGTCTACAAAGTCTGAAGTTGGAAAAACACAACAGCTATTTTAGTGACCAGCACATCTGGGGCTTATGACCAAGCCAATGCACTTCTTTTCTAAACACTAACTTTCTGGATGAAACACTTCAACACAATCAGTGCAATATTATAGTTTATAGGGCCAATCTAAAAATTGCATCCCTGTCATCACAAAATTAAAATCTGACAGTGAAATATGTGTCACTCTCTAAATATTACCATAAGAAACAGTTATGAAGAAATTGTGCTTAATTTTTGAATTAACAGAGTTGTACAACGCATAATTTGAAAAGAACACTACACGAAGAACGATAACGATAAACTGATTATACGCAACCCAATTTAATACTAAAATAATAACTAGAAATGTGAACTCGTAACGTATTCTCAAAATGACAACTTAGCCAAAAATAAATATGTGATCATTTAGCAAAAAATAAGATAATGTATGAAAAGCAAAGCATAGTTAGCATAGAGAATTGATATTTTTCCACTGAGAGAATGAAGGCATAGAAATCTACTGACCTAATTAAGACTACTATAAGTTATTAAGTACCAAGGCAAGACTTTTCTAAGCAGTGTACTAAATTTGTATATATATATATATATATATATAAATATATATATATATATATA